AAAGACATTAGAGAGCAGATTAGACAAATTATTCACAAAATAATTATTACATACCGAAACAAATTAAAATCACTTATTTAAAAATAAACCATAATAACTAAACAAAAATCAGAACACAAATAAGATATCTGATCCTTTATTTTTCAAGAGATTTGTTAACTTAATTGGCACAATTTTTTCTGATTCAGAATATGAATCGGAAATATTTCGAACTTGAAATTTTAGGAATAGAAACAAAAATTGTTTTAAAATATTCATATTTATCACAAATTACACAAATATAATACTGCAAATATTATTATAACACAATTTTTACACAATAACAATTCAAATCAAAATAGTAATATAATTAAACCTGTACAGGACAAATCAAAACAGGACGATATCATTTTCACTCGTGCTGATAAGGGAAATACAGTAACTCCTATTTATAATATAGATTATATTGACAAAACTCTTTCATTTCTACAAGGTAGCAATAATTACAGCATACTTAAATTTGATCCAGCAGAAAAATATCAAAAAGAACTAAAACGTAATATTTAGGATTCAACAGCAATATTTGATTCTAAGGAAACATTCAAACTAATACATATGAACCCTCAACAACTACAACTTTATTCTTTAATAAAATTATACTATTGTATTAGACCATTTGCCACGGCTCAATCAGTAAAACTTTCACAAAAATTAATTAAACGTATACAAGAAAATGGAAAATTCCATTCAAAGTACAGTATAAAAAATTCTTTTGAATTAACAGAAAATTAAAAAATGTTAAATTACTTAGGACCGATTCCACCGTTGTGTTAAACGAAGTTTAATATGACATTTTTGCATTAACAATGTCATTTTAATCTCAGTTTAACACAACGGTGGAATCTCAGAGTAAGTAAGTAGTAAAGAGAGGACAGTAAACAATGTTTGTGTCGCCATGATAATATGGTCGAGAATTCTAATTAGAGAGAAATAGATTAATATCTCGTATCTCTTTGTTTGTATTTGTCAGTTTTACAAAGCTTTTCTCAGACAATTATTCCAGTGTTTAATTTAAATTTGTTCATGTTGTGGTGTTAAAAGTAATTATTATTAATATTATATTCATAACAAAAAAGTCGTATTTTGTTTTCACTTCATTAAAAATGCACCTACCTACCTTTTAAAACATTTTATTTTATATTCTATTTGGTCAACATTTTCGCATTTAAAATGACCAGCGAAATTGTTTTACGGTACGCTACTGCTAAGAATTCTAAAACGAGTGAGAAAGCCTTCATTAGAAAGAGAGATACTGATTATATGATAGCGAGATTAATATTGTATAACTTTATACAGCCTATCTGCTATTATATTATCTAAGGGTGGAATCGGCCCTTAGTAACTTAAAATTAGTATAATTTGATTTCCTAGTATACCTCCTAAAGAAACAGTTATAGAAAACTTATTAGATCGCAATCAAGTCAAAGTCATAAATCCTAAATTTATTAAGTATTTGCTTGAAACAAAATTATTTTGAATGTCAAAATAACATCTACTCAGCAGATGAAGGTCTTATTATTGGGAACCTATTAGTCCGTTGCTTGCAGAAATATGACTAATATAGAACATTAAATTCACAGCAATAATTTAAGTAAACATTGCTTTTATTGGCATAGATATGTTGATGACATATTGACTGCTTATACTGCTTCTAGTAGACAGTTAAATTCTTAATTAATTTTTATCAATACTATACATCCTAATATTAAATTTACTATGTAAATAGAGAAGGATTATTCAATAAATTGTTTAAAATTAATCATTTCTGTGAGATAATCTCGGTAATGATGATACCTAATTGGAATTATATTAATACCTATATTAAGTACTTTACAGTTCATCAAATTTCTAGAGGCTTTCGACGGCTAGACAGAGAAAGCACTACTGACAGGCATCCCGACGGATTTACGCAATGAAAGTACACTCTGTGCATCAAGTATTTCACTATTTCATTCAGACGTAAATGTCAGATGTAAATTTCGCTAAAACATTTCTTTTATTTTCGTTTGTGTTTTTTGCTCATTACAGTTTAATAGAACCTAAGTATGGAGTTTAATAGCAAATTAAGCAAAGAGGCCGCGTGATTAACAGTCAATCTCGCGAAATAATAGCCAATGTTATAGAGTTTATGAGAAGAGAAGGAAACTTTAATTCACCTTCAATACCATTTAAAAATGTAAATGATCGTGTTGCTGCAGCCACAGGAGTATCTAAAAACACTGTCGTCCGCATTTCTGGAGAGAAAAAAAGAATCGATAACCGTGAGATATCGGAATTTTCATCACCAAGAAAAACCATTAAAAAACCAAAAACAGTTAATGATATAGATGAAGCTGCACAAGAATCAAATTTTATTTTTTTATTATTAGATAGCTATTTTTGTTTCTGAGTTGTGTTCATTTACAGGCTCAATTTTTTTCCGTTTCTCCTTTTTGATTTTATATGGGGTTTCAAGTTGTTTTTGACTTATTTCGACGTAAATCACAACAACACACTTTTTTAATAAAGCAAACAAGTGTTAAGAGGTATATGTACGTGTAAACTACAATTACAAAAAATTGATATGAAACCCATGAAACCACCAACAAAAATGTAAAGCTAGCTTCCGTACTAGAACATGGTGTCATTCGTCGAGATAATTTATCGTTTTGTTTAATAGATCAAGAAATGTAAATATTCCCCTGTTATTTTTTATAAAATTATAAGAGAAATAAATTTTTTTCTAAATAGTATAGTTTATTATTTTGTAGAAAACCAAAATTTCGAAAATTTTAGTAATGTTTCAGAAACAACCGTTATTAATAATAGGTACCATTTTCCTTAATAAGGTAGAAATAAAATATAAACTATTTCCACGATTTACAAAGGCCTACAAAAAAATTATAGGTATTTTCCGCTATCCTATAAAATTTATATTTTCTGACTCAATTTCAAAAGGTTGAAGGAATTCCAAAACACCTTTTATGGCATAATAATTATTTTCAATTCTACATACTATCTTTAGCTGCTTTTAAAAACGTTCTAAGAAAGTCCAATCAGACCAATTTAATCCCTAAACTATTCCACACTTTTAAAATTTAATTATCTAAAAATATTAAAAACTATTTAAAATAACTTGTTTAGCAGACTGTACAATAGCAATCTTAGTCACACGTAGCGCGTTCTCTGTCTGGGCGTCGAACACCTCTAGAAATTTGATGAACTGTACCTATATTAAGTACTTTAACCCGGCGTTTGACACGTGGGGTGTAATAAACCCTAGCAACTGAAAACACGTGCACAACTTCGTAATGGTTTCATCTTCACGCTTCCGCGTCCTAGTAGCTTTCAATTGTATATTATTCTGTGCGGGCACACACATTCGGCAGTCGCCTGTTACACCTGAAGAAGAGAGTGTCGCTTTAAAGTAGACTGGGGTGTACCACATCCCACGTGTCAGTTTTTGAAACTTTTTTTCGCCATATCCTTGGCTGTCTTTGTAGGGTAAGTGCAATTTTTCCAAGTTTTTTTTTTTGGAAAATTATAGTGTTTTTTTCTTTTTTAGCAAGATGTGTGAATGGCAAAAGGAACAGGAGCGTCTCTTGAGACTTTGGCAGGAGTCTGAAGCTGAAAAACCTTATTCAGATAAAGAATATTCGGAAGAAGAGGAGGATATTGATCACCTGAGCATAATTAGCAACCATCCTGATCAAGAGCAAGATGCGGGGAATGAAGATAAGAGAGACACAAGAAGAACAGAGGGAAGAAAGAGATGAGATACGAGAAAATGTTCGGGATACATTTTTTGTGGGCAAAAATGGCTCAAAATGATTTAAACAAATACCAAATAAAAATGTGAGAACTAAAGCTGATAATATCATAATCCACTTACCAGGTGTTAAGGATTATGGAAAGAATGCTAAAACACCAACACAATGCATCGAGATTTTTATAGATGAGGAAATAACGGCTCACATTGTTAGAAATACAAATATTAGAATTGCTGAAAAATCAGAAAAATGTAAAAATTCACCGTATTATGGGGAAACAACAATTGAAGAAATGAAAGCAGTTTTTGGTCTTCTTTACTTAAGGACAAACACAGAAATTTGCAAGAACTGTGGTATACCGATGGTACTGGGATGAATATATTTAGATGTACTATGAGCCAAAGAAGATTTGAATTTTTAGTTTCTTGTTTGCGTTTTGATAATAAAGGCAACCGACAGGAAAGGCTAAAAATTGGCTCACATAAGTGGTATTGTTGACAAATTTACCGAAAATTGTAAGGCTGCTTATTCACCATCCGAATACCTAACCAATCGATGAGAAGTTGGAATCATTTCGCGGTCGTTGCTCTTTCAGGCAATACATACCGAACAAACCTGCTAAATACGGCATTAAAGTTCTATTACTTGCTAAATATGGAGGTATATGTAGGCCACCAGCCTGAAGGTCCATTTTGCTGCAGTAAGTCCAAAAGACATTGTTGAGATTTTGTTTTTTTACTTAAATTTGGTTATGTACCCCATTTTGTAAGTAAAATATAATAAGTAAAATTTTGTATGTAACTATTTTTGAAGAAAGTAAATATATTATAAAAATAAAATAAAAAATGTTCGAATATTTAAAAAAATATATTAAAATTTATTTTTAATGTTGGGGTTTCTCAAACCCTACGTGTCGAAGCGTGGAAAAAAAGTTCACCTGTCAGACGCCGGGTTAACTAGTTAGTTTACTTTGTACATATATTAGACACCGAAATGTAAATTGGTCACATTTCAAGAAGTAGTACTTCAAAACAATTGTCATGAAGAATTTTTAAATTTTTCGTGAAAAGTTTGGTTTTTTCATTTAAACATTTTTCTGACTTAGATACCTGAAAGGTTCTAATCGGAAAAACAAAAAAATATATTATCGCTCTTCTATGCTTTATTATGTACTATTATGTAACTGAAACAAATAATTATATTTTTTTCCAGATGTTCTTAGCAGAAGAGAGAGCATTAAAAGGAATAAAGTGGTTGTAGAATCCAATGGATTGGAAAATTTAGATACAGAAAGCGATGTTATTTTTGACGATGATATTTATAATCATGTGTGGTTCTACGCCTTCGAGGGAATTTACAATTCTAAAGTATTAAGTATGCTATTATCCGGCAAAGTACCTATCACAGCCATTATAAAAGTTGATTCCCTAGTACACGAATATATCTCACCTGAATCGATACACGCGAAGTTTTGGTCGGAAATGGACGATTTACTATTTTCTCACAATCGTTCAGAAATTTTTGAAAATACAATGCTAATGCAGTTTACAATGAAAGGAGAAGAAGATCAAGATACATTCCAAGATTTTCTGCATACTGTTAAATACATTTCTGAAATAAAATTTCAACATTTGAATTACATTCGCCACATACAAATTTACGGAATGGATCATTTTACGACCCATGTACCTCTCCACTGTATGCATACGTACAACAAGCTAGTATCTAATATACCTTTGGAGCTTGTTTCGGAAGTTGTGGTTTTGAGTAGCGTATTAGAAGAAATCTGTGTTCAAATGGACGGTGATAACATTAACGATAAATACAGTATTCCAGATTTACCTAGAACTGCACCAGTTGGTTCACGTGCGAATTGTCCTGACCTTCATCTGGTTAATCAGATTCAGTCTGGACCACAAAAAAATTTTACTAACGTCAAGACGCCCATTAATTTTCAATGTTATCATAAAGATGTCCTCAGTAGAATATTAAATATGTATAAGCCATCTGGTAAATTGGTTTATGATCTATCTCTAAACGTGTTGAAGTGCATCCATCCTTTTAATTTATTGGATGATATGATGATTTGTGAAGCAAACAATGCAACGCATAAACATGACGTTGATCCGACCACTAAACTTTCGGAAAAGGGAAATGTGGAGGTAAATATTTGTTTAAAGTTTATAGGTAAATATAATATGGGCATCAGTCAAAGCAGATAGTTTGGCTTACGAGATTTGTTTCTTTTTTTTTAAATCTTCGCTACTTACGTAAGGGTTCCTTCCTGTTTACAGAGTAGGGCGTTGACTGTATACTTGATGAAAACTTAGAGTTTTAGTGATGTATTACTAGATAAATAGTCTTGGAATGTTGTAATTAATGTAATAACTCCTGCTAACTGATTTACCTTTATAAACTTTGCATCTTATACTCTCTTTATATTGTTTCAAAGAAAAGCGACTGTTCGCGCAAAGAAAATAAATTAGATGGTGTTTGGTTAAAGGTTGAAACTAATATAGGCGTCAGTGAGTTGTGTATAATATATGGTTACGTGAAAGCGCTTGTGAGCCATCGTTGTGATTGGTCTAACGTATGTTTGACACTATCTTGTGATTGGTTTTTAAAAAAGTGGAGTGAGAGGTCACCGATTAGGGTAGACAGAGATTAAGTGAGTGTTATAACTATTGCATAAGTGAATATATTTTTATTTTTACCGATTTATTTTAAATTTGCCTACGCGGGTGCAAGTGAAACAGATCTGTGAGTAGAAGAAAGTTGGCACTTTATTTATTTACTTAACATTTTCCATAATTGAGAAAATATTTTTTCGCGTGTTAATGTGCTTTCAGGTGTGCATGGGTAACGAAACGTTGAAATACGTTAAACTCAGTGGCGTGCTATGACATTTTTGAAAGGGGAAGCGATTGTATAAAAATACAGCAGGCCAGTAAGCACAGCGCCGCAGATGAAAATTTTTCGTGGCGCATTTACCATTTTGTCAAAATCTTGCTTTTTTCCTCAGTACTAAGGATATTCGAGATTGAGATTTTTGAAGTGTTACTATTACTTTTTTACCTAGTTTAGTACTAGAAGCTATAAAAAAACTTACCATTGAAAAGCTTCCTTGGTTTATTTAAATGTAAAAAAAACATTTAACTAAAGTTATTTTCTCCAGCATTTTTCGCACAGTTGACAAAGCAGTTGACATTTAATTATACTTAAGATCTATTCGCCTATCCTCAATGGCTGCAAATTTGTCTTTAACATTGTCGTAAAATTTTGGATTTTCTGATAACTGTTTAACAAGCTGTTTTTCAGTGGATATTAGGGCTAAATTAGAGAGTCTGTCTTCACTTGTTGAATTTCGTATAAAACTTTTAATGCGCTTTAAAGCTAAAAAACTTCGATCAACTGACGCACTTGTGGCTGGGATGGTTAGTACCATAGATATATAACCAAGACAGATAGGATTACTTACAAAATGTTTGAAGAATGAACGGTGGTGTCCGCGGTAGAAACTCAATAATCGGATTGAACATTGATGCCAAGTTTACGTGCTTTTAACTATAGTAATGTTATTGCGTTTGCTTGAATTACTGTTAGGTCTTTAAATTGTCAAAAAAAAAAAATAATGTCTGACAACAGCGGAAGTAGAGTAGACCGCAATTGTGGAGGGTCGTATATTGTTTCATTCATAAAAATTCCTTCGATACAGGATACTAGTCCAGGAGCCAGTGAATTTTTTCGTTCTTGTTTTCCCGGTCCGTGTATATTTAAATAATCTATTCCCGGTGAACTGTATATTTAAAATGGAACGCCAATCTATTAACAAAAGTAAGCCAGATTGAATTCACGCATTACGTAACATCGATACAAGTGAGATTGTTTACAAAGTGCCTTTGCAGGCCTATTTTGCCCATTTCATGTATTTGTTGTTAAATCATGTTAAATTACTATTTTTGAAACTCAACAAGGAGAAAATCCAATTAACTCTTCTTAAAATGTTAATGTAATTTACAGAAAATAGCTAGGTATGTATTTGTTTTTAAATAATTTGATAATTTATGAAAAAAGGGAGTAAAAGTGGAATGACCAGTGGCCAGTAGGTCAGTCAATACAAAGTATCATATATTTCTATTATAACATAACTAAAATACCTACATCTTTTAATCATAAGGACATAAGTTAAAAACCATTTTAATATATGCATTAGAATGAAGTAATAATAACTTAAAGAGACGAGGTCTTGAAGTAATAGCTGGTACAGCATGTTTTTTAAACGTTTCCTCATTGTTGCTAGAATGAAATAACTTACTATGAAATGTGCTCTAAAAACGGCATTTATAGCAGTCAGAGTCAGTCTTAGGATCTCTTCCTAAAGCCCTCATCCAAGCTGCATACATATTAAAAAATAATTAAAAAAAAAAACATATATACCTACATATTTTTCGGTTCTGGGTGCCCTAAAAGAAGACACTTAGCCGACAATTTGGCTCAGATAGCTAAAACCCAAAAGTCACACCCCGAACCAGGACGTATTGCTATCCTTTTAAGTAAAAAATAACTACAAATAACTTACCTGAAAAATGAAGGCGTCTAACTTTACACCAAAAAAACCATACACTTTTTCCCATTGTTGCAAGCACCCGATGACGATTAGGTAGATATCAACAAAAGCATGTACTTAATGGTTATAAAGCTTATTTTAACACAAAAAGATTAAAGCACTAGTCGAAAAGCAGCAATCAAATATAAATAGACCACAATATTAAAATTCAAATTAAAAACTATATAAAAGACAAATACTCTAAAAGCGCAAAAGACAGAACCAAATAAAATGAATAACCATAATAACCTAAAAATCACACTAAAATTGCAAAAACTATTACTGTAAAATCATGAGATTACATCAATAATGCATATGCGTCGAAGTATCGCAAATGTCAAAAGTACAGTGGTTCCATGAAAATTTAGCTATGTTTTTAGCAGTATTATAGGACCATTTCTACCACGCGCATCCAACGATATTGGCGTTCCACAGTTTACTGTATTTTCCTTACACCTCTAGTATAAATGATTTGACATAACGAAACTAACAATAATTATAATTAAGTGATTCGTGAATTCTAAATAAAACAATTATTATATAAAAGTGTAAAAGGAAATGTAATTTATTTCCCTATTTTCTTCTGTAATATCTTCAATTATTATGTTTAATTTCTATAAATAAACAGGTGAAACATTGTGATATAAGATTTTATTTATGTGTCCTATGCGTACACTTTAATATACAAAACACCTGGAACATTCTTTAAATAATTGTGGTCGTAGAAATAATTGTGTACATAACTCGTTTGAAAGTGTATTTTATGCACTTGCCAAATATATTATCCATACAGATTAATCAGACTATTTTTTTACTTAACTTCAGTACATCTCTTACTACTAAAACTATTTTTATCAATGGAAAAAAAAGGCCATGTTCTCGTATGTTTTGACGCATTTTCGGCCTCAGCCCATCGGATCCCCCCTCTAAATATATATGAATTTTGCTTAGAATTGCTAATCCTACAATTCTCTATTCGTGCTTGCTGACTGGGACAATAAATACCGAAAATCGTCACTGTCTCCTGTACTATACAATAGATGATGATGAGAACTTCACAACAAATACACTTTTATGAATGGCTAGTTGGGGATGTGGTTAGTACTAATTCACACAACTTGACAACTTTACAAAGAGACTTATTTAACCAGTTGTTATAAGAAAATTTAAGACATTGATGGACGTCTTTTTATCACTAATTTCAGTTGTTTCATAAACAACACTTAACTGGGACTTTAATGCTAAAATATAGAAAAATTTCCATAATTTAATTTTAGTGAATTAAAAGCTTCCGATGGAAATTTTGATGAATCATAGTTACTAATATTAAAATTGCACAATTCAACAAATTTTAATTCGTTAAAGTTTTGAAATCGAGAGTTCATTTATTGTAGAATATTATCAAAAATTTCGGCGTATAATCGACGATAGGAGGTTTCTCTGTCGCCGACATTATCAATTCTAATTTTCTTTCTTTGTTCCAAGCCAATGTTTTGAGTCTTATTCCAAAAGTGTTCAAACTGATCTCGTTTTTTATTCATATTATTTTTAAAATCATCAATTTGTTTAATGCAAAAGCCTATGTCATTTGACTTTGTCTGTAAAATGTCGAATAAAATGTCAGTAAAAGGGAAAATCTCTGCAAAAATGTTGAGCAAAAAATTGAAATCAAAGTTTTGTTTGAGCCAATGCAAATACCCTTTAGCAGCAGTAACAGTTTTAGCATCCCAAGTTTCTTTATTATCCCAAACGTCTTGAAAAAAGTTTATCAAAGAATCACAGTATTGAAACACTATTTGCACTAAACGTCCATTGTAGTTCCATCGCGTCGGAGTAACTTTTGGAAACGTGAACGTCCAAAGCGCGAGTTCTTTTCGATGACTTTGAAAAGAAGGAAGCCAAACCACTAAGCGTCGAAAAGAAAACTTTACAATCTTTAATATTATCCATACTTCGCGATAAAACCAAATTAAGTCTATGTGCTTATACAGTGAACGAAAATTGCTTGTTTAAACTTTTTTTTCACTTTGGCTTGAAGGCTTCCTAAATGGCCAGCTATTACGGCAGCACCATCGTAGCTCTGGGCAACAAGGTTAGAACCACATTCTAAACTTGAAATAATGTCACAAACATTTTTAAACAATGCATTAGCAGTTCGTTCGCTAGTGACGTCCAAAAATCCTAAGAATTGCTCTTGAGGAATGCGATCCAATACATATCGCACAACAATCGATAATTGACTTAAGTTTGCTACATCTGTGGTTTCATCAAGCGCAATTGATAAGAAAGGTGCTTTTTTAATTTCACTTTTAATGTGATCCATCACAACGTCGGCAGTGCATTTAATTAAATCATTTTGGATTCTGTTTGAGGTACCTCGGAAAGTCGTCGAATCAATTAAATGATTTTTTAGGGTATCATCGTATTTTGCTAAAAAACTTAGAAGGCCTATGTAATTTCCTCGATTGGCCGATCCACTTGCTTCATTATGACCCCTAAAACTTAGTTCATGCTCTCCCAGGAAACAAGTTACATCTATTAATCATTGTAAGACGTCCCTATTATTTTTTACCATTTCATTGTGAATTTTGTTGCTTATTTTTAATGATTGTCCAAACTATGTTCAGTGCGATAGGTCCCGAATGTTGTTTCTTTAATTGTAGCACTTATATGAGATTTGCTATTTACATGTCGTTTTACACTTTGTGAAAATGCCTGGTAAATTTCTTTGCTGATTTTTCCACTTTCGTCTCTAAATTGATAGGATCCTTTAGTCTATTAGAATTAATAATGTCCGTTTTCTCTTCAAAATTTCTACTTGAAAATCCTTTTTTCAATAAAGAGCACACAATACAGACACAATTTACCACATTATTATTGTGCACAGGCACAGTACATAGTTCCTCCATTTTACAAAAAGAAAAACAACTACGAAAAACAAACCGAAATCTACCTAAAATCTAAGATTTTCGTCACACGTCGATTCGCGGTGCGAATTGCAATATGCGTAAGGCAATGTAATAATCGCTGCCTCTCGGCCGTATTTTACGTGTCCAAACAGACTGACACTGTCGCTGCAAAGCAGGGTCAATAACACTAAGCGAAATCACTTGCAAGATGAACCGGTTATTTCAAGACGCGCTTTCGCCGACGGACTCGTGTGTACCTTTACATAATGAATTTTCCCATGGGAGGTGCGTGCGTTTACACACCAATGAATTGTTAGTACATTCACGAAGTTTACGTAATGTTTTAGAGAAAATATAGTACCTAATTTAATATTAATTTCTATGCATTGTAAACTTAAAAATATTTATGTTTAAATTTCAAAGTGTAGGGAAGCGGTGCTTCCCCCGCTTCCATGGACCGCACGCCCCTGGTTAAACTGCATTCCTGAATTTGTTTAAGGCTATCTTTGATTTATATTTATTATATGTAATTAAAATATAATTTGTATTCTTTGTTTTGGGTGAGATTTTCAAATTAGGTAATGCATTGTACAGATTTAATAATAAAATATATTGTTTGTTCTCATGTTAGTAACTGAAGTATGTGTTAAAAAATGCTTGTCATTTCTAAACATTGGCTTTACCTTAATTGTACTTTATTTGTACCTTCAAGCATTTATTACTAGAGTCAGCCATAGATTATACAAACCGTAGATAGAACATAATCTTAACAGTAGTGTCGTGAAAAGAAGGTCGACGAAAATCTTGTTGGCTGCGAAGGGTTATGTGAGTAATGGTTCCACGTAGAATGCGTAAATTTAGGCAAGGCCAGTTTTGATGTTAAGATATTAATTATTAATAAAAGCATTCAAACTAGTATTCAGGAAATCGGGAAAGGTCATTTTCAAAATCTTTGCCGAGAATTGTTAAACAAAATTGATAGTTCTGCAGAAGTTCTAAAGGATAATTTAAAGTCATTAATCTTGATGAAATTGCCAAATCAAATGTGCCAGAGAAACATTCATTTTCGAATGTCCTCCAATCGAAAATAGTTTTTCAACCTAAAACTAATTCCCAACATGTGTTCACAACTAGACCCTATCAATTCGAATATAAACATATCCAAAGTGGAGACGACTAGAAATGGCGTTCTCGTTGTTAGCTGCGTAAACGAAGATGATTCCTCTAGACTTCGTGATTTAGTGAATAATCAACTAGGTGACAAATATGATGTGAAAAAGTTGTCCACGTTGAAACCTAGATTGAAATATCAAATATGTCTGAAAAGTTTGAGAACGATGTCCTAATTAACTATTTAAAATCACAGAACATGTCATGTTTTAGCTCTGATTCTAAATGCGATTTTATTTCTATTAAGCCACATAAACGTAATTCCAAATTATATCAGGCTATCCTCCAAAGGCAATTGATACGGGAAAACATAGAGTTTGATTTTGACTTTCCTATATATTCGGCACTTGAACCTCAGATAATTATTCTAAATTAGAGCCAACCTGTCCCAAATGTTCCGGAAAGCATCACTTGCGCGACTGTAAATCAAGTATTCTTAAATGTGTGCATTGGTATAATCTTAAACGTAATTTAAATTTGGATATATCATATGGGCATGCAGTTTGGGATAATAATTGTCACTATTATCAAAAGGCTGTGACTAAATTCAGAGACAATATAGTTTTACCTCTCTAGCAACTACAAGAAAACGCCAGTTTTCCTCAATCAAATCTAAATAAATCTTTTTCTTGTTACTACCAAAATGTACGTGGTCTTGTTCAAAAACATGAAATTTTAATCAACTCTTCTATTGCTACTCAATATTCAGGATACTTTCTAACAGAAACTTGGTGCAATGATTATTAATAATGCTGAGCTTTTTGATCCTATGCGATTTAATGTCTTTAGGAAAGATCAATGTTTCTCGTAAACTAATACATCTAGGGGAGGGAGTGTACTAGTAGCACTTGAAAGAAATTTTACATCTACTGTTATTGATTTGGAAAAGAATTGTTCGAGATTACATGATATGATTCTTGTTAAAATTACTATTAATTTTAAACAAGTATATGTCTTAACTGCATATATTCCTCCATCATATAGCATTGAAGACTATAAAATCTTTTCCGAGTGTGTTGCCTCCATTACATGTTTATACGGTCATAACTATATCATGCTAGGTGATTCTATTGTTCTCGAATTTGTTACTTTCAGGAATGCAACACATAAATGTAAGTTAACTACTAATCTCTCCAACTTTTTTGACCTGGTGCAGTTTCAATAATCTCTTAAATTCAGAAAACAGACTATTGGACTTAATATTTTCTAATATTAACTGTTCTGTCTCAAAAGACATTGAAATTATTACTAAAGAAGACAGCTATCACCCATCCTTAGCTATTGATCTCAGTTTTGATAACAGATATAATCAATTTCCAGATAATTTTAAGTCAGACACATTGCAACTTAATTTTAAAAAAAGTAACTATCCTACTCTATATTTTGAACTACTTCACCCTGACTGAAACTTTATTAGTCAGCTTAGTGATTCCGAAATAGCTACAAATTATTTTGTAGATAAAATCACGATACACAGACTAACGGTATGTTCCTGCACATACAGCTGACTGACGGTGACGTCACGTGGGACATAGAATTATAAGCATTAAATGGGAGATAGTGTTTAAAATTTGATATTTTGCCAATTTTAGATTTTATGCAGTTACTTAAGCTTTATTGGTTATTTTGTAACATATTCGTTTACAAATATGAAAGTTTAAGGTAAATAATACTAATAAAAATATTAATTTTTCTCATAAATTATAGGTATTTTGTGACAAAATCCATAACCTGGCCATAAGATAAGTAAAAGATATAGACTCAAAATACAAGTTTGACTTAAATTTTTAGTTTCTGGGCGTAGTAGTTCTCTTGCAATCTTTTTTTTATTATATGAAAAATAAGTGTGCAAAAACAAATTATTTATTTAAAAAAAGTAAGTACACAAAAACATTACTTTTTATTTGGTAAATTTAAATATTTTTTGTCAAGTTTACTTTGAAAATACTTAAAACCAATTTTCCTGTTCATTTATCTTATTCTTGTATATGTTCGTGTCCTGCTCATGCATGGCATTACTTCAAAAGGACAGTTGTATTGGGACAGGAAACTACTATTTTATCTGCTAAAATTTTTAAATACCGATTTATTTTCTTTACTTAATGAGGCCCGTGCACCTGGTGGAATTCAGTTTTCTTTTCTTGCGTCTATGTTTAAGAGAAATCTCACAACTACTTTCCTCAAAATGGATAGGGCAATTTCAATTAAGTTTGTCCTTTCTTCGATGAGAATTTACCCATATTTTATGGCAAGATAATACTACTGACGATCCTCAACAAATAATAGACAGTTTTGCTGATTGTTTTTCCAATTCTTTCTGTATTATCCAAAAAAATGTAGATATTGATATTCCCAATTTAAACATATTAAATTTCTCGGAAGACGAAGTCATAAATACTATAAAACAATTGAAGTCATCTATTAAAATGGAACCTGATTTAATTTCGGCCTTTATAATTAAAGATTGTATTTATGCATTAGCACCTTCCTTGTTCCAAAATAAAGAATTTTGAAACATACAAAAGACGGTCCTGTGCTCACAAAAGCCAGGTGTTAATTTATAACGGCCATTTGCATGCGGAAGTGACCAAACCCATGTATTTTCGCGCGCGAAGAACTGGTCGAACTGACGTAATCATATGTCCATCTCTGTCATAAAAAATAAAAATCCGGCAGGCCGGTTGAGCGATTCGAGCTTCCTAACATAACGGATCGGCTCTCACATGCATACAACAAAAATTCTTTGAGTAACGATGATATATATAAAGTCCTAGTAATTATGTAAGCAGTAGTTAGTAATAAGAAACAAAAATGTAAATATGTACAAAGTTTACGTGCAGCATTTTGTGCACAAGAAAGTGTTCTTTTATGAAATTGTCGAGCTTTCATATCATATGGAGATGGTTGCCAGCGACTTCAGGAGACAGTCCATTTGGGTAAGCGTACCTTAGGGCCGTATTTAATATTTATGGGGATTCAACTCATGGAAATCCATCATCCCCTATATGCTATTTTTAATGTGATAATAAAGTCAGCTGCATTCCCAAATTCCTGGAAACTGTCACGAGTTTTAGCAACTATAGGCCGATTACTATTATTAATAATTTTTACATTTAATTTAAATTTAAAATAGAGTGTCATAAAAAATTACTTGAAAAATGCGATTTTTCTGCATGCATGTGTGAAAAGACCCGAAAAGTACCTACTAAGAAAGAAAAGTTTCTTTCTGATCAAAAATCTGTCATAAAAATGAGCAAATGAAATGTAGATTAAAGAAACAAAGAAAATATTGTCGAACAAACAAAGACAATCCAGAGAAATCAAAAGACTTAAAAAATATGAATCATAATGTTGCAATTTATTAAGACCCAGCTATTCCTTTCAAACTACTACATTATTGTCGGGGTCAGAATCTGACCCCTTAAAATATCAATCCTCTTCAGCTGACGACTTTATCAATCCAAACTTACCCTCTACTTTAAAAAACACTAAAATGAAAACAAAGTTTTCTACGTTAGGTCTTGTATGTGATAAATATGGTATATCTGATCGATCAGCTGCTGCGATTGCTAGAGCAGTAAAGATGTAAGAATAATTACCACAGGAAATCAACAATCAGTGGCGGCGCTAGACCAAAATATTCGGGGTTTCCAATGACAGAATATAGATATCAGTACAGATCAGGTAAAACAATTTCAGTGTTTTAGAAAGGTTATGATAATACCTGTCATTGTAAACCCCAAAATTTTGGTTCCAAGCCACCACTAACGACAATGATCCAGTATTTCAAGCACTAAGATGTTTACCAGCACCACATCTAATTTCACAGAATGAAGTTCGAGAATAGAGAGTTGAAGTGTTTCCAGTACGTTAACGTAAACGTGAACTTCAACGCACAAAAATAATGTTTAGGTTAATGTCCAAAAAATGAGTTGAAGTTGTTAAACGCATCGTGACATTTACGTGCCATGACAGATAATGACAATTAATGTAGATGTGAATGTAAAGGATTAAATACGCATGCGTAGATGTTCACGTGTACGTTTACGTTCATATCGTTACTTCAACTTTCTATTATTCAAAACTAGCAAACTCACAGTCATAATGTGGAAAAGGTCTTACATATTGTTTTTATCAAGTAGGAACTTTAGTATAGTGCACTAATGTTGACATCTTATTTGACCAATTGGTCTGAATCATGAATCAAGCATTTGCGTCTATTTGTTGTATAAAAGCAGTTTTGCTTCACAACGGCAATATATACCCATCTTTACTTATAGCTCTAGCTGTTCATGTTCATAATGAAAGATTCATAAGAAAATATGCGATTTCTCCTGGATATAGTCGTGGTCCATCTGTGTAAAAGTGACTATTTACAGAAGGAATAACCACTCAGTCAATCACTAACTCTGGATCTAAAAACCAACAAACCATTGTTTCTAAAAACACCGCATTTCTACCACCATTATTCCATAATGAATTGGGTTTAATGAAAAATACTAGATATGAACGGAAAAGAGTCTTTGTATCTGAAAGATAAATTTGGGATCACAAATACAATTAGTGAAATTTGACAATATGCTGAATGAAGTTAAATTAAGAGCATGGATAGCTTTTAATACAGCTGTAACCAATTTTCTTGGAAATAAAAAATTACAAAGATCTTATGACTGAATTACTTGTGCCTACAGAGAAATGGGATGTAACCAGAGCTGTTTAAGATCATTTTAAAAACGATTTAAATCAAAGATCATAAATCGTTTGCATTTGAACAAATGATTTAAATCAAAGATCGATTTAAAAAAAAAAGGTTTAAATCAAAAATCTTTTTTAGATTTAAATCTTTTTTACAATTTAAATCATTTTAGGAAAGATTTAAATCTTTTTGAAATATTTAAATCATTTTGGAAAAGATTTAAATCATTTTGGGAAAGATTTAAATCTTTTTTACAATTTAAATCATTTTAGGAAAGATTTAAATCTTTTTATAGATTTGGGTAACTCTTTAAAAAATGCTTTCGGTATGCCAAAGATAGATAATGAATACTTTTCTCATATTTATTTTTTATTGTTATTAGCCCAATGCAATTCTTACCGAAATATTAATTTTAAATAATAAATATCCGATCAAGATAAATTTTTTAAGGATTTATGCAGCATTGATATCTATAGTTATGAAAATTGTTATTTAAAAATGTCATGTAAATAGGAATTTTTCAACCCTTTAAAAGATTCTTTTGGTATGCCTATGATGCCACAAAACAATGGAGACCTAGTTTTTTAGAAAAGTGATTATTTTTCTGAAAAATCTCTTAAATCCGTCAACTCTTCCTTGAGTTAACGTGCTTAATGTTATACATACATAAACACCCACAGATGCACAAACATCAGACTCTATAAAAATATGTTTTTTTGTACTTAGGAGACTCTCTCGGAAAAATGCATTTCATTTTCAAAATCTCCCGGCTATGAATAATGAAATTGAGTGGGTTGAATTAAAAGAGTTCTTCTCTTAACGTGAAGTTATGGCGAGTAAATAAATAGCCAAAGTAGGCGCGTTTGGGTTAATTTTTTTGAAAAATATGTGGATGAATCAGGCAAAGAAATAAAAAATTTAATTAATTCGCTCTTTCTATGCCAAGCATGTTTATTGAACTGGTCAAAAAGTCATCGTCATCGTCATCAATCGTCTTAATGCAACTAATGTCAAATCTGAAATAAAAGTGTGCATAAATTTAAAATACATATGTAAAGAGTTTCAGGATTATATCGATAATGAAAAAGTATTTCCAGCTGCTTGCGGTGTAAAAAATACAACTTTACAAAAAAAATATCGGTTCAAAAATATTGTAAAATTTCATACTTAAGAATAATCTTTAGACATTGCAATTATTTGTTACACTTTACTATTTTTTGTTTTTCTTTTCTCTCGGATTTCTGATTCAACCCTACTGACATGCTGGCTAGATTATTATTGAAAAGACAGGTTGATAACGATTTTGACGAATCAAGTGATGTAAATCATTTTAAAAAGATTTAAATCTATAAGAAAATTTAAATCATTTTAAAAAGATGGCATAATTTTACAGATTTAAATCATTTCAGAAAGATTTAAATCAATAAAAAGATTTAAATCGTTTCAAAAAGATTTAAATCGTTTTAAAGATTTAAATCGTTTTAAAAAGATTTAAAGCGTCTTAAAAAGATTTAAATCGTTTTAAAAAGATTTAAATCGTTTTAAAAAGATTTAAATCTAATTTTTAAATTAAAAATCAAAGATACTTTTCAGAAAGATTTAAATCATAAATCAAAAATCATTTTTTTAAAAAAGATTTAAAATCAAAGTATTTAAATCAAAAAATGTATTTAAATCAAAAAATGATTTAAATCTCACTGATAGGTGACAGCTCTGTGATGTAACATATCTTTAAAAATTCACTTCCTGGGTACTCACCTTGATTTTTTTTCTAAAAAAATAGAACGTACCAACTATGGGAAAGCGAGACCAAGACAAATGGAGCCTTAGTTGGCTTGCTGATTACTTCTGGACATTAATCCGAAAAACTCATAAATAAAATATCGCCGTCAAATAATGGCAACGTTTTAAAGTAACTATAAGTGCAACCTTAAGAAGATAATTAATATTGATGTATTTCCGTATAATGTACGCTTCGTAGGAAACAAACTATGGGCGATAGAGAAAATCCAAAGTCATTTTCTACTTTCTAGTAAAATGTTACATAACATATATTGTCATTTTTATCCATATCACAACAAAAACTTGCATTTTTGTTTACCAGTGTTACCTTTTCAATGATATGTCATATTTGGAACTTTCCCTGTTTACATTAGGCGTTTTTGGAAACTTACTCGGATCAGAAAGATTACAAATCCTACTGTTCGTTTACCTAGTGTCACTAAACCTATCTGTTTTCGGAAACTATAATTACTGATCCAGTTTTGTAATCGAGATCAGTTATCCTATCTGCGATTAGATTAGTAATAAAGTTAGATGCGCACCGCACGATTTTATAGGAGTGACGATTTAACCCAACTTTTTTCTGGTATTTGGTGTCTGACAGTAGTAGTTTAAAAGTTTTCTTTACCATTTACATTATTTTAATTAGTTAAAACTTGTAATATTTATGCAAGAGGATAAAAACTTCTTCATCACTAGAATAATATTTTAAAATCATAAGCTATTTAAAATAAAATGGGTCTTAAACAAATAAGGATTTCAAATATTTTTTAATTTTACGCAGGTAAAGTCAAAAAGTCAAAAAACTCGATCGTAAACTCTCGGCATTGAGTTCAGTGATCCACGTGATCCATCGGGTAAACCCAGTAATTCGGATTTGTGATTTATAGAAGGTTTCCGAAAATTCCTAATGTATTGGCGAAAATTAAGCAAGGGAATGGTAATGACGTGTAACCGTTGAGGATACGATAACAGGATGTCACTTTAATAAAAAAATTTGTTGGTCTCCTCTATTTGCTCGAAGTATTAAAGTAAAATATCCAAACACCTTTTATTGTTCCTTTTCTTTTACTCTTAAGAATTGGGTTACATTGTTATTCGTTCTCCCCTTTTTCCAGTTCGTATATTCACTGCCTTTATGTTTTCTCCTAACGTTTTGGCTCTTTCCCTTCGTATCACTACTCCGTGTTCTCTTTTTCTCTTCTCGTATTAGTTTTCTTCGTATATTTTTGTTGTTTTTCTTTTCAGTATGGATCTATTTCTATCTTGGTTGGTCATTTCTCTAATTGATTGTTGTATTATTAATTCTCTAATATTTTGTGTTTACAGCAAATTTAATTAGACATTGGTCGATTGTTTAATGATGAAGTTTATTTATACGTATACGTTTTATAAGTAGGCTAAAATATTTGTCTGTGTCACTCTGTGTTTATCAAAACAACAATCATTACAAAGTTTTATTTCATTAATATCAGATGTATTATTTTTTTAGGTGTTCAATCATTTTTTGAATCTCTTTGTTTTTTGTACCTTCCAATACACTGAAAAACTGGAAGAATCACCAGAAAAAGAAAAGTTTACGGAAAACCTTTTAACTTACGATCATGTAGCGTTTTGCAATAACTTACGACCAAAGCTCGAACAAAAAGTAAAAAGAGATTCAGAATTATACTTTGATTTGTCATACAACATTAACCCAATGGATTTTTATTGGAAGGAGAGCTATCCGTCTTTTATTCTGATGCAAGAAATTCTCAAAACTCAAAACTATTATTCATATGTAGACACTACCTACTGTCCCGAAACTGACAGGGTCTTAGTTCAATTTTGTGACTGGTTAGACGAATTTGGTTTGAACACTAGAATTTACCATGAAACGCTCTTAACTCCTGTGTGCTTAAGAGATTTTTGCAGATACACCGCTAACGAAATATCCAATTGGATAAAAGACAATCCACCTCCGAAGTATGTGAGAAAAAGCGAACAGGCTGAAATCTGTAAGGGAGCGAGAAAACTGAAAAATGTCGATATGTTCGAGGAATATCGTTATTTACTAGAAACTGAAAGTATGCCAAATACAGCAAGCAATACATCTCATTTTCCAGGCAACGATGATCTAACTTGTGAAGTTACTTTTGATGAAATGATGAACGAGCTGGAGACATACCCACAAAATACGAAATTGAAGGAAGAATATATGAAACAGGCATATTCCAAGGATTTCCTAGCTTATGATTTTGGAACGAAATATTTCGCACTAAGAGGTGCCAGGACGATATTCGTTAGCCATGACGGTGTAAAAATTCATGTTGAAAATTGCAAGTTTCTTGACGAAAACGACAAGTGTACCGTGTCTTTGCAGTATGGAGATAATACTTTGACATTACATTCGTCTGAGAATTTTAGAACTTTTTATTCGTGCCATTGGATTTTAGCAGATGAAACAATCGTTGTATTTGAAATACAGAAAAAACGTCCGAAAGTAGCTCGAATTGATCCCGACCTTGACGCACATGACGACAAGTTAGATATAGTTCCAACTGATCATAAGTCAAAAATTGATATAAGTAAGTTTACTAGGTAATTTTTTTTAATAAATGTTTACTGTTTTATTGGCGAATATTTATGTATTTGTCTTAATATCCTAACATTGTTATCAGATATTACGAAAAGCATTATTATTCAATGATTTATTGTGTCATTTTTTAGCAATATACTTTTTAACATTCGATCAGAAATAATATCCAATATAGCACCCATTTTGAAAACTGACCGATTTTTTATATCCAGATCCTACACATACTTTGATTTTCTTTTACTTGCTGCTGTCAGTGTCAGTGAATATTATTTTTGCAGTCACAGTTTATTGCTAAAGAATCAGTTAGCTCACTCGGACCAGTTGAAAGTTCCAAAATAACATCCACTCCAGGGATACAAATTCAGGATACGCAGAAGACTGCTGTTTTATTATAGGCGGTTGTCATATATTGTATTATCCGAGTTGCACAGTGTATAAACTGAAACATTGAGATCCAAAGTGCCGACGCAGAGTGAGCGATCTGATTCTTTAGCTGTAAACTGTGTCACAGGGTTCAAAATGGCCGCGCCCTATATTGGGTGTGTCAGACCTCTCTCTTGCCTCGTATAGTAATCAAAGTATGTAAGATCCTATCATATGTAGATAGAGAAACACATACTTTAATTACTATACGGTGCAAGAGAGAGGTCCGACACGCCCAACATAGGGTGCGGCCATTTTGATTCCTATGCCATAGTTTATAGCTAAAGAATCATTATTTTTATTGACTTTCAGTAAGAGAGAGAGAGAGCGAGAGCGAGAGCGAGAGCGAGAGCGAGAGCGAGAGCGAGAGCGAGAGCGAGAGCGAGAGCGAGAGCGAGAGCGAGAGCGAGAGCGAGAGCGAGAGCGAGAGCGAGAGCGAGAGCGAGAGCGAGAGCGAGAGCGAGAGCGAGAGCGAGAGCGAGAGCGAGAGCGAGAGCGAGAGCGAGAGCGAGAGCGAGAGCGAGAGCGAGAGCGAGAGCGAGAGCGAGAGCGAGAGCGAGAGCGAGAGCGAGAGCGAGAGCTGTTTTGTTGCATATTTTGCAGGATATTTAAGATTTATGAGAGGGTAGGCTGGGGAATAGTAATAGTATTGGCCTCTTCACTTTCATGGAATCTAATTTCTCCCAATTCTGCGCGAGAAGATCTGGATCTGAGTTTTACCGCTTCATATTCCTAGGCTGCAATCAGTTTTTCCCTCAGCGCCTTGTGATGTTGTAGCCGAAGGGCTTGCCGCATTTCCACATCTTGTAATCCATCAATGAATGCCTGTATTTCGATTTGATCTGAGAAATCTTTGGGCGCTTGTAGATAGGCCAGATGAATCAATCTTCTTATGTCGGACTCGAATTCCTGTAGACTCTACGAACCTTTAGCTGGCTTTGGAATACCTGTTTCAAATGCTGCTGGCCATACCTTGTCTCCAAGGCTTGGACGAGATACGAATAACTGTATGTCTCTTGACGTGGAATGACATTTCTAGACATTTCTCGAATATGCTCCCTTCTTTTACTAGCACCTTTACGTATGACGGCCGCAGTACACTGTAGTGTGTATAACGAGAAAGGTTCTGCCTGAGCAAAAACAGACTACGCCTTGTAACAGGGATTCTTACTGGGCATTGCCAACTCAAAGGACACCTTAGTAAACTGAGAGTAGTAAAAGATAGTAAGTGCAGAAGCTCTAAGGAAACCTCCATTCACATTCTGACTGTGTAGCACTCCATAATCCAAGGGCACTATACCTAGGAGCATATCAAATGGAAGAGGGAGATTAACCTAACTTAAAGCAACTCCAACTCATACACTTCCTTAAGAAGATAGGGTCGTTATAGGCCTTGAGACATTTTCTTGCTGCATTAGCGATAAAAGGCGGCACAATATATCTTTAAGGGCGTAGTGTACCCCATTCCCACCATAACATACCAGTATGTCAAATTAAAGTTAAATCCGTTATTAGGTCTTTTTGATAACCTTTTGGTTAGTTTCGATAGCAAGGAATTTTCGAAAATTCATTATTTCTCTTGTTACCTGTTAAATTTCTTCGTTAAATATTATTTTTTTAATAATAATTACCACTCCTTAGCTTGGCATTTACTCATGGATTTGGATTCTAAAGTTTATGGTATTCAATTCGTCTGTAAGTAACCATTTGTAACACTATTTTCACCATTTTTCTATCAATTGAGTTATTTGTAATGTAGGCCTAAAGATTGCTATGTAGAAAATAGTCACGACATTTTATGAAATAACTTATGCTGTAGCATTGCCAACTCTATCTAGCCTAGAAAATATAAATCTGGTATCGCGACAATAAAGTCCGTTTTCAGTAAGTTGTACTCTCGTTTTAATCCATTTTAAAATCAGTTTTTTCTTCTTTAATTAGTTGTTAAAAGTGGATATTAACATAGAGTAGAAAGTTTGTGATTTTTTTTGAGACAAACTTTGTAATCTTGCCGAAATACCCAAATTGGGCACATAAATTAACAAGATATTAAAGATGTTTTAAATAAAGAAAATTTTAAATTAAAGAAAGCATACAAGTTAAATCATAAAACAGGTTTTCCCAATAATCTCGAACGCCAAAAAGTTTATATAGCAGACAGCATAATAATATGTCACTAAACCTACAATTTCTATTTTAAAATAACTAGGCTATCCAAAAATTTCCAGCTTTTACAAATTATTAGATATTGGTGGGATATTCTAAACAATACCAGGGCTGGAACTCTGTGTCATGTAGAATTCTACTTATCGTTTTCTACAATAGATTATTTTGTGGCACTCTGTGTAACATAGCTGAAAACCAGCGAGTATATACTTACTACAGGATAACTAGTTTCATAAGAAACTCTATTGCGATATTTCCCGTGCGGTTGATAACGTATTCATCACAAAAGAAAGTAATCGATTTCTATTGTAGAAAGCGATAAGTAGAATTCTACATGACACAGAGTTCCAGCCCTGTGTTTTTAAAGATTACATAAAAATAAATGAATATTGTAAGCCAGTCTTAATGATTTTTCTATCAGTTTTTTAAAACGAACGACCAGAATCAAAAAATACAAGGAATATATAGAAATCATGATTTCTCAAAGAATTTTTACGTTTTGGAGTCTCCTGAATCCGTTTTGACTATTTTCGCGATGATGTCTTTGTGTGTGTGTTTGGGCGCACGCGCGCGCGCATTCACGATAACTCATGAACGGATACAAAGAAAAACACTAAATTTTAAACTTAAGCTTCATTCCGGCCTGCAGTGAACTGATACGATTTTGGGCAGAGTCGGAATATCTGGGGGGTACTTTATAGGGGTTATTTTCATATTTTATACACTACATCTGTTATTTACGTTTGGAACAGAAATTTCTTCAAATAAAAATTACTTATATTATTTTCTTTAATTTTTGTTACATAAATTTTTTTCCTAAAATGGTCTGTATTTGAGAAATTTGACAAAATGTAAAAAAATCAAATTTTTATGAAAATTTTTTAAATAAAAGATGTTTGCGATATTGATCTCAATAATTTTTGATTTTACATGATTTATTTAAAATAGACAGTAATGGAAAAATTGGAAAAAAAGTATAAAATTTAAATTTTTAAGTTAACCTCTAAATATTTACAGAGGTGCTGCAATAGGTTGTACAAAATAACCGAAAAAAGCATGTAATAACTAGATAGGAAAGTTATGTGTTGAACACATCAGATTTTTATATAAATGTTATCTTTATATCAATAGTTTTATTATTGTTGTTCACTCCATAACCTTTTGATTCAGCGTCAAAAGGACCACAGCAGCCTCGGATGGAGATACGGAAATTCCAGGACTCAAATTCATAACCGACTACGATCAGGAGGGCACCAATAACGGGCTTTAATTGTTGTTAATTTCTGGGAGCTAAAATAAAATGGAAAAGGGGTTTTATACACGGGTAACTAACCGCAAATATAAGCCAATAGGCTAAAATTAATAGATATATTGTTACAAAAGATAGTTAACAAATAAATAATAAAACTATTTCAAAGCCTACCTATTAAAAACCCTTAGCAAAATAAACAAAATATCAACGAATAGGGGTCTCAATCAGATGGTGGTTATAACAGTAATAAATTAATCGATTAGAGTAAATAATAATAATTGCAGACCAAATATACCGACAAATAAATTTGTATGATCATGATTAAGGTCTTTATTTGGAAAATTCCCAATAATTAAACAACGTAAATTTCGGCTAGCATTATTGCCAGGAAGAAATAAAAATTTGCATGCTGTAAATTAACCATAGCAATATTATTATCTTTGAAACGATAAAATAAAAAAATTAATTGATTATGTTGCCCACCCCTAATTACAATCCAAATGAAAATTGTATGTGGTACACCGTTTTAGTAATTTTTGATTTTTTTTTTTATTCATTGGACAACTATTTCGTCTGTGAAGAAAGTTGGGATTAAAAAACACCCCATCAACTAAACAAGGCAAAATTATCATTTTAGAGAAATCATTTATGAAACAAAAATTATAGAGATCGATATCGCAAACAACTTTTAGTTGAACAATTTTTTTATTTAAAAAAATCAGAATTTTGCACATTTTGTCAAATTATTCGAATACGGACCATTTTAGGAAAAGTTTGTATATTAAAAAAATTATAGAGAATAATATTAGAAGTAACTTTTATTTAAAGAATTTTCTTCTCCAAATATAAATAACAGATATATTCCATAAAATAAAAAAACGACCACCTATAAAGTTCCCACCAGATTTTCCGACTCTGTCAAAAATCTAATCATTTCACCGCAGGCCAGAAAAATGGTTAAGTTTAAAATTTGAACTTTTTCTCTTTATTCGTTTTTAAGTTTTCTTCAAAAAATTTGAAGTATACACATTTTCTCAAATATTTCGAATATGGTTCATTTTGCAGACCATGAATTATAGAAAATAATAAAACAAACAACTTTTATTTGAACAATTAAAAAAAAAATGAATTTTGTAAAAATTTTCGATTACGGACCATTTCAGGAAAATTTTGTATAGGAAAAAATTATAGAGAAAAATATAAAAAGTAACTTTTATATGAACAATTTTCTTTTCCAAACGTAAATAACAGATATAGTTCATAAAATATAAAAACACTCCCCTATAAAATACCCCCCAGATGTTCTGATTCTGCCCAAAATCTAATCAGTTCACCTTATGCCGGAAATACAGATAGGAAAGTAAAAATGAAAATAAAATTATGTTTACTTTCAGGTAAAATTAAAATAAGACATAAAGATACAAGTGTGGATAGCGAGTCGCACGATTCCAGAAAGAAAGAATTTGTTGTCGACAAAACTATGAATTTATATGAAGGAGTATGCGAGGCAATAGAACACAATTGTCCCATATACAAAGTTAATAAAGGATATCAAACTTTAAAGCCGATAAAACCAATTGAAGAAATACCTATAGCGACCGTGCTGCATAGAATATTACAAAACGTTAAAACAAATTTGGGCGATGAAGGTGAGACTGGTCAAGCCAGAACAAAAAGATATGTACCAATTCGGGCTCCGAATGTCAGTCTTCCAATGATTGAAAGTGCAATATTTCGTATTACTCTACCCAATGGCATTCATGTAACGTGTTATCCGTCTCTGGTTAAAGAAACATTGATAGAGGTGAAACAAGAATTGTTATCTCCACATATTGAAGCTATAAAAAGTGAGGAATTTAGATTGTTTACTAGAGAAGGCTATATTCTGATAAAGAAAATAGACGGCTGTATAACTATTTTGATGTCTAATGGAAACAAAATAGATTTTGATAAACCAAATACTGAAAAAGAATCAATTAAATCCTCAAATCTTAAACCTGTTCATTGTAAAACAGTAAACGATTACAGAAAAAGACTAAACAAACTTATGAAAGATACTGGGAAAACCAATGACGATTATTACATTAGCAGACGTGGTGTTCTGGAAACAAAAAGAGGTTAGGTATATATTTTTTAATAACTTTGTGTTCAGTACGCTAGTTCAGTGTGATATCATTTTGGTTCCACTGGCATTTAATTCTAACCAAACTTTTAACAAAAACATCACTAAATTTGACATATACGTTATTACTGTTTTTAATTTATTTCTAAATGTTGTTTACAGGTCATAAAAAATAGTTTAAAGGTATGTAATTGGTAACTAAACGATTGTATATTTGATGCATGTTATCTACTTACTTTAGGAATATATTTATAAAAGTTAAAAAACGATATAATTTAGGTAAACAAAATGAACAAGACGCACTCAAAAAATATACTGTCACTTTAATTGTCAGTGGAACCATAATTACATCATCACTGAACTAGCGCATTAGGCAATCCGACGTCCTGTCAGAATGGACAAAAATAGGCAACAAATGGCAATAGCAACAAAGTTTGTTTACTTGACTTTTTCATTAATGTTTGATTTTGTTATTGGAAATTATACATTTAATATTCATATAATTCTAATATAATTTTTTTCCATTTAAACCGAAAAAAAAGCTATGTAAAAATAATACACAAGTTAGATATTTTTACTATAAATGATAATTAATTTAATTAAATCTTTATTTAGGTATTCAAAAACTATATTTTGATCATTCACTTATTCATTTCTAAAATAACGTATATGAACACAGCTGATCGTTAACGTAATTACGAACTATTTTTACAAATTAAAAATAATAATTTAAAAATCTTAAACATGTTGGGAAATTGAAAATAAAAAACACAACTATGAAATGTTCCTTCCCTTCTATTTTTATAGATCAGTCTATGACCACAAGATGCACAACTAACAAGGTATGTATTTTAAGAAAAAAAAAACTTAAAATTTACAAAAACACTATTGAAGTACTACAATACTGTTATTACCTAAAATTATTTATAATAAAAAATCTGCAAAATATTAAAATTATAACATAAACCTCCAAATACTAAAGGAAGTAATTGTTTTGTGTTGTAAGACAGTAGTATATAAAAGGGGCGCCCTGGCTCAAGTAACAACCGGTTCAAACATCAAAAAAATATCTAAAAGCCTCAAGTGACAACCGCTAAAAACATCAAGAAGAAGGAATATTCAAAAACTATGCATATATATTTTCAGTAGGTATATAAAAGAGGAAGAGTTGAAAATATCAAAATGAAAGGAATAGAAATTAATCTATTTACAAAAATCTATCTCGTGCATTGTTTTTCCATTTTTTAGATTACTTAAACCTTTATAAATTATATAAGGTGGATTTTCCTTTAAATTTTTTAAATCATTTTTAGTTATAAGCTTAGTATTCGCTCCGTGCGCGACATCAGGGCCAATTCGTTTTGGTACTAATGGACTATTTCTGCCTATACTGAAAAATACAATTTTTAATAGAATTTGTAATTAAAAAGTATATATGTTAGTTTTAATAAAAGTATATGGATTTGTAAAACAAGTTAAACATTAATTTATTATTATTATATATTTTTATTGCTTAATTTAAAGAAAATTATGTATAATCAATAAAAATCAATGATAAAATATAGGCAGGCAACAGTATTTACTGGAAAATGTATGAGAAGCTGCCTAAGTTTAATAAGTTGTCATTAAAGAATTAGCCTATTCTGTCAAAATAAAAAAATACCATTTAATAATAGCGTGAAGTTAAAATGTATAAAAAAGGATCGTTATTTATATTTTAATTTTTGTTCGAAAGAAAACATAGAATGAATGATTAAAACTGGTTTCCCATCAGTAAGTCACAAAATTGCATTCCAGCCACATATAATAATCAAAGCCAGATATTTTGAAGCCTTGTCCTTGCTGAATGAACATTTAAGAATAAAGGGATGTTACAGAACATTGTAAAATAATAATTTATTGTTTATTTAAAACTTTTCAAGTTTCTGATGTCTACTATTTCCAGCATTACTGTTATTATTACAAAAATAAAGGTAATTTTTTTTTATTGTACATTTATTTCTTTGATTTAATTTCCACTTTGCTACTGAAATTTTTTATATAAGTTTCACTGTTTTTTTGCTAGTATTTGTACAATTTTCAACACAGCAACTCCGGTTGCTTATTGTATTGTTTTTACCTACTTTTTGAAAAAAAGTAAAATGTATACGTGTACTTGATACGCCAAAATTACAAAATATCGCCCTAAAATGCACGAATTATCTGCACCTAGCGCTAGTATCGCTTTTGCTTCCCTTTCCATGACTTCGCACGGAGCGAATATCTATCTGATAAGGTATCATCTAAAACACAAATAATTTTTGTACCATTTTGCTTCATATTTATAAGAGAAAAAATCTGATGTGTCCAACACATGACTTTCCTATCTGGTTATTATAGGCTTTTTCCGGTTATTTTGTACAACCTATTGCAGCATTTCTATAACTGTTTAGAGGATAAACTAAATATATACATTGTCCACATACATCTACCTCGAAACATTTTTCTATAAATATTCATTGAAAACGAAAATACTGAAAAATTTAAATTTAGCACTTTTCCATTACGGTCCATTTTAGAAAAATCATGTATAAACAAAAATTATAGAAATCGATATCGCAAACAACTTTTAGTTCAACAATTTTCATAAAAATCAGAATTTTGCACATTTTGTCAAATTTCTCGAATACGGATCATTTCAGGAAATTTTGAAATTATAGATAATTATATTAGAAGTAACTTTTATTTGAAGAATTTTCTTCTTTAAACGTAAATAACAGATATATTTCATAAAATATAAAAATGAACACGTATAAAGTACCCCCCCAGATGTTCCGACCCTGCCCAAAATCTAATCAGTTCATAAGACGCTGGAATAAAGCTTAAGTTTAAAATTTGGTGTTTTTCTGTGTATCGGTTCATGAGTTATGACCTACAGACACACACACACACACACACACACACACACACACACACACACACACACACACACACACACACACACACACACACACACACACACACATACACACACACACATACATACACACACACACACACACACACACACACGCACGCACGCACGCACGCACCCACACACACACACACACACACACACACACACACACACACACACACACACACACACACACACACACACACACACACACACACACACACACACACACACACACACACACACACACACACACACACACACACACACACACACACACACACACACACACACACACACACACACACACACACACACACACACACACACACACACACACACACACACACACACACACACACACACACACACACACACACACACACACACACACACACACACACACACACACACACACACACACACACACACACACACACACACACACACACACACACACACACACACACACACACACACACACACACACACACACACACACACACACACACACACACACACACACACACACACACACACACACACACACACACACACACACACACACACACACACACACACACACACACACACACACACACACACACACACACACACACACACACACACACACACACACACACACACACACACACACACACACACACACACACACACACACACACACACACACACACACACACACACACACACACACACACACACACACACACACACACACACACACACACACACACACAGACATCATCGCGAAAATAGTCAAAACGGATTCAGGGGACCTCAAAACGTAAAAATCCGTAGAAAACTCGAGGTCGAAGAAAATCATGATTCCTATACTTTCCTTATATCTGTATACAAATAGAAAAGTAAAAATGTGAGACAGTAAACGTATATAAATAAGAGACAATATTATTCAGATTCGTAAGAATTTCTATGCACGCAAGAGTATATGTAAAAAATGTTATGAGTCAGAAGTATGTAGAAAATGTATATATTTAGTTTATCGTCTAAACATTTACAGAGGTGCTGCAATATAGGTTGTACAAAATAACCGGAAAAAGCCTGTAATAACTAGATGGGAAAGTCATGTGTTGGACACATCAGATTTTTATTCATATCACCCAATAAGAGGATTCAAACAACTCGAGAAAATGCTGTTTAAGCAACATCAATATCTTGTTTTGATTTATAATATTCAACGTAATATTTAGATACGTGTAACACTTTCTCTTCTTTTAAGATAATTCCAAACATAATGCGTAAATATACAAAAAAATTTGGCTAGCTTTGGGCGTGCTTAGTTGCATGGTTTTTTTCATTACCTCGTCTTTATCTCACATTTTAAAACTCAGAAAAATAATGTCCAACGAACTAAGTTAATTTTGTAAAAGTTTATTCACAAACCTAGTCCGCTCCTGACGGTTATAATTCCAACCACCTGCACTGCATTGAGTAAGAATCTGCCGACGAGTTAGTTAAGACGCAGATTGTTTAGGAGTACATTCAACACGATGACGAAAACGGATATACAAAATTTTCTAATGGACAATGATTTGTATTTTCAGGTCAGCTATAAGAAAGAAGAACTTCTTAAAGTTTTACGGACGAAACAATTTAACAAGTATTAGAAATTAAAAATTTAAAAAACCGACTTCAAAAACGTGCAAATGCCATCACATCTTAACCAAATTTATATCGGACCACCCTTGAGGTACTTACAAAAAACGAATCATATAAATCGGACAAGGTGGTAAAGCATTATCGCTAAACATACATAAAAAAAGAAGAGTTTGAGGATATTCTCATGGACCCAATTATTAGATTTTGACCAAATTTTTATGGGACTATCCCTGAAGTACCCCCTTCCTAACAAAAAAAGAATCATTTAACCATGTTAAAGAATTATCGCTGAACATACATAAAAAAATATTGTGATGAATTGAGAACCTCCGCTTTTTTGAAGTCGGTTAAAAAAGTATACGCTATAGATAGTATTGCTGAATACCATAGAGATTTTCCCCTTATTTTTGTATTTTTAA